CGACCAGGACGAGGACGAGGAGGACGACGAGGACTGCGACGCCGCCGCCACCACCACCACCACCACCACCACCACCAACAACAACAACAACAACAGCAACTACTACTACTACTACTACTACTACTACTGTTTCTGCTGCGCTCCTTGCTGATCCTACTTTCTAAGTCCCCTTGTCCTCCGAACAGACACCCCAAAGCCGAAACCCAAAGCCCTACACCCAAAACCAAAAGCCCTAAGGCCCTAAAGTCCTAAAAACCCGAAGCCCTGAACCCTAAGCCGTAAACCCCAAAAGCCCTAGACCCTTAAAGCCTAGTCACTGAGTCCTCGCATCCTCCAGGCAATGGGTAGTGGGCTCGGCGCTCTTGTCCTTGCTATTGCTTGGTGTTTGCGTTTTACATCCCTGGTTAAAGTTTAAGGCTTCGGGTAGAGGGTACAGGTTCAGGGTTTTTCGTTTTTTAGGGTTGATGGTTTAGCGTTGCCCCCCGTTTCTGCAAGACTATCGCCGCTCGCGACCAGCAAGTGTGGTCAGGGCAACCTACTCCTCTACGACTTCCCACAGTCTCTGCTATAGAACCGATTCAATTTTTCAGGCTTATACATAATCTTACCAAAGTCTAAGGGTTGGTCAACTCAGTATTCCCGGGCCACCCTTGTGTAGAGCACACTACCGCCGTGTCAAGCTGAGAGCTTATCATTTGGCGAACCTTTCAGTTAGGGGTTGAGGGTTTTTAGCAATGTAGGGTTTTTCAAGGTTTAGCCTGATTTTATCAGTATTTATAGGGTTTAGGGTTTAAGCTCGGTCTAAGCGGTGTGTAGGACAGGCATAATTGGTGCACAGCCCTAGTCTCTTAATGTTGGAAACCTTCTAGCGGTCCAAGATCGTTACCCTGAAGTCCAATTAAACTATTCCAAGAAGCACCCTTATAAAAAGGACCCGAAAAGAGACCCTAATTTAGAGAGAACTACCCATATTCTTCTCTACGATGATGTAAGCCGTTGGAAGGTGTATGCCCGTCTCGAGCCTCAAAGCTTTTAGATTCTGTGCAGATATCTCTCAAGGACGGGGCATTGGAACCCAAGGGTAGAAGGTATGTCCCACACCGACTCGGTGATCCAAGGGCCTCATCACATAAGCTAGGTCTAGTGTTGTGGGTTTCGGTCGTAATGTAGGCCCAAGAATAAGCCCTAACGAATAAGGGATTGTTCATCACGGTTTTATGTTGGGATGTTGGATTGAGGGTTTCAGATGCTACAGGCTTGCATGACCCTTCGTGACAATGTGGGGTGCCACAAAGTAGGGTTCTTATTAAGTCCGCGACACCGTTTTTGAGTAGAAGCTGGCTTCGGGCTTTGGGCTTAGCGTGTGGTTATTGGCTTTAGCGTAGGTTCTTAAACTAGTTTTGTCGCTGCATCAGACGGTGGTGTTCAGGGTTTAGGTTTTGGAGGGTTCAGTTGATAGGGTTTAGTGGTGTTGAGTTTATGCAATTGGGGTTAGGGTTTTGGCTGGCTGTAGAGTTTTCAGATTGCCTACGCATAGCGTCTGGCGGATAGGTTGTGAAAGCCCATCACAGAAGCGCTTTGCCTGGGTTGACATGAGAGGTTTAGACGTCAAGCCCTAAGCCTGTAAACGATTAGGTCGATGTGCTTTCACTTGCCTGAATGGGCCCAACTGCCAGACACGCTTGTGCTTTCACTTGTCTAAATGGGCCGAAGTGCCAGAAACGCTGGCCAACTGGCCGCAGCGACCCTGGCCGCCTGCGACAAAACACCACGGTGCAAGTGGGAGCCATCCCCAAAGAGGGTTTAGGGTTTAGGGCTCTGCGCATGAACGGCGCATGTTGGCATCCATTTCAATGCCTGCCCTTTCCCTAAACCCTTCTATCAATCCTAAATCCTGAACCCTGAACCTTAATCAATCCCAGAACGCTAGACCCTGAAACCTAAGCCCTCAACCCTGAACCCCAAGCCAGCCACGAGCCCTGAAGACATGCCGTAGGCTTCCTACGGCCGGCTGCAAGTAGCCCTACAAACTGATAAAGGTCTTTCGGACCGGACCCTGGGAGTTGAGGGTTCAAGGGGCCCTGAGGGTTTAGGGTTTACGGTGTGGTTGGTTTAGAACCCTAAACCCTAAACCCTAAACCCTAAACCCTAAACCCTAAACCCTAAACCCTAAACCCTAAACCCTAAACCCTCCTAAGCCCCAAGACCGGAGAGTGCCACGAGCAGGGTCGGGTCGAGGCTACCCAAGCCCAGAGCCATCTGCATGGAACTCCCAGCAAACTTTCAGGATCTGAGGGTCTAGAGCCAGTATGTGCAGGGCTGCGACTTTCAGGCGTTGGGTGTTGGTTTTGGGATAGGTTTACGTATGGGGCTTAGGGTTCAGGCTCTGGGGTGTAGACGGGTGTGTAAAACAGTCACGGATTAGCATTTTTTGCGAAGCTGAACACTCCATGCCGCACTTCTTCAAGCCCTATACCACGCAGGAGTCCGAAAGCCTGCAAGCTTTTTTGTGGGAGGTGGCACCCCCCCCCCCCGCCCCCCGCCCTCCAAGCTCCCCCCATCCAAGCGCTGCTTCAGATTGCTGCGCAGCAGTTCCGCCGAAGGCGCATTGTCGAGCTGCAGCACGGGCGCGCCGGGGGCCTCAGACCTGAGGGCTGTGTGCTGCCTTTTTTTAGTGTTTGGAGCCTGTGCTCCAGAAGGGAGTGTCTAGATTTCTGAAATTCTTCGGGCCTGTTTTCGAGTTCTGGGGCTCTTTGGGGTTCCAGCTCTGAGGCGTTCACGGCCGGTTGTCAGGGGTTCAGGGTTTAGTGAGTGAGAATCACAGGTTCGATTGACGGCTTGTGGGATTACGGGATGAAGGGTTCGCTATCAGAGTTTCACATGTCGTGCTGTTGAGGCTCACTGTTGCCGTTGGTGCTTTGAGAGGCAAGGTTCCCGGTTTTGCGAGGGTTTCGGCGCGCGAATGCGGTGCGGGGGGCCGGTAGCGACTTCAGCGGAACACCCGGAAGTCTGTACGTGTTACACCGCAAAGGGCGCAGCCCTCAACCTCTCACAGCCCAGCAACCCCCGAAAAGACCCTGAACGGCCTAAGCCCTAAGCGTTTAAACTCCAAAAACCCTAAACCCTAAACCCCTAAACCCTAAACCCTAAACCCTAAACCCTAAACCCTAAAGACCGAACTCTCCGGCCGAGGTCTCCATGCTGGCGTGCATCGGATACATCGTTCCGGAGTTTGTGCGCTTTCCAGGCGGGCTCCGTGGTTGGAGTGCTGACAAGGAGGTTTAAGGCAGGACAGGCGTTAGGTCTTCCTTGGTGGGTTCTGTAGAGAGCTGACACAGCTCAGGCAGAAGTTTGGAGACAGCACGTAGTTTCAATGAATCTTAAAATTGCGAGAAGTCCAACACTGTGAGCAAGCGCTACATGATGTCTATGTACCTCGACGACTCGGGACACCGACGCTATTGATTGGAAGCCTGTAATTACAGACACCTTCTGATGTGACGCACAACGCGGTAGAGAATGCGAGCCGGGCAATCAGCGGAAGAGCCAGGATTCTGCGCCCCTTCGCAGAACTTGGCGTTCACGGCCGCCTGGCGAAGCAAATGCTGCGCCTGTGATTTCGTTCATTTCTTTCGGAGCCCTTGGCTTTGCTAGCCTGAGTCCTGATGAGACTGTACCGGGCCGCTGAAAAGGCCGCCCCAAAATGGACCTTTGATAAAGCATTATGTCATCTGGACTTCTATCTAGAAAATCCATCAAGGGGTCTTGAATGGCGGCGAGCTTGCTGAGATCTGCAACACCAGCTAGTTCAGGAGTGCATCTTATACTGCATTGAAGCATATTTCGGAGTGATTCTTAGCGGAGGGCTTTTTGATAGGTTTGTGCAGATCTTGACAACTTAGCCGGGGACACAGATAAAATCCTGATATCGTGACATCTTGAAACTCTGGTTCCGGACTCCCCAGGCGGAGATCAAGGTACCACAGGCAGTAGGCGACTTCTTTTAACGAATATGGCAGAGGACTTCACGCGTCCAGGTCCATGCAAAGGCTTCGTAGTGAAGCATTCCATAAAGATGGACCAAGCAAAGCATGAACAAGTCATTGAATGGGCTCCCCTACTGCCCGCTCCAAGCATTGGAAGAGCCTCTTCCGAGACTAGATGTTCGTTTGATTGGTATTAAGGACACGGGCCTCCGCAGAGCTTCACACCGTAATGCGCATGCCCTACGGCCCTGAACCATAAATCTCGAAACATTCTACTTGTTGGATTGTCTGTCCTAGCATGTTGGAGAACTTGGAAATTGAATCCTCATATGCCCTGCATTAAACCCTATACCATATACGCTCTGAGAAGGCTAAATCCACCCGCTAAATCCGAACCCAAGCCCCAAACCATTCTACTTTTGAAGCCCAGGCTTGCCCTTAGCCTTCCAAGAAAGATCCCTCCGCAAAGGACATCCCCAACGGACTGAAGGGTGCGGCCGCCGTGCCCCTTGCAGGACTTCCTTGGAGCTGACAGACCCCCGTGCTGAGGGGTTTACAGGGGCCAGGGCCGGGTTAGACGTTTAGGGCTTTATTTAGGGTTTAGTCTAGGACATTTTCAGGTGGGTAGTTACCGTTATAGGAGCCTAAAAGAAGGTCTATATACGTTATAGAAGC